GTGCATCAGATTGATGTGCTATTTTGCAGAGACAAATGACAAAGGATGAGATGTGTTTGAATACAGCTAAACAATGCCATATAATTTTTCGCTCATCAATCAGCACAGAAATAATTAGTTTTCACGCCTGACTATCTCTGACTATCCCTTAGGAGCAGCTGCATTCAGAGTGGGACAGCTTGTTGACTCTGTTTCAGTCAACAATGTTGCTGTTTAGTTGTGAAGAGGAAACCAAAACCACTGGTGCCATAATCATCCCTGTCTCTGTCTCACTCCGTGACCCATTTCTGTATCGTCTCCCTGATGCTCAGTTGTAAAATTACAGAACAGACCTAACATTTAAGGACACATTGGTGGAGTTTCAACAAAAAACCGGATGCTTGTCAAGGCGTTGGCTTACAGACACTCACATATCCATACTTTCATTTTTGTGAGGACCGTTAACTCGCCCTCTCCTAACCTTGACTGTAAAACCAAATTAAAAAGTGCTCGTAAGAGAGATTCAAACAAAATCTGGAACACTTAAAAATCGTGTTTGAAATTGAGTGTCAAGGTGAGAAATCTTAACAACTCCATTAAGAGCTGATTTTACAGCTGTAAGGTCAGATATAATAATAACAAATACTGCTTCTCAGGCACACACACAAATGCACACAGACAGAAAATGACAGTATAAATCTGCCGCATGCCCTTTCAGACATGATATAAGACAACAAGTTAGAATGACAAGCAAAACAGAGACAGAGGGAAAAAATAGTTATGGTTTTTGTTTTACTTTGTACAAAAGAAAAATGGATATCCCACCCACTTCCTGCACTATGCCTCACTCTGTGGAATAAATAACTGACACACACACACACAAACAGTGCTAAACCAAATTGTCTGGTGTTGAATGATGCGCCCAGATTCAAGAGTATATACACCGCTTCCAAAAATGTTTGTGAAGCGGGGCCGGTGACTAGCCGCACACTGCTTTTTGTAACTGAAAGTGGAGAAATGACAAAAGAAATCGACTAATAACTGAAAAGGTACAGCAGCAGTATCTCTCTGTGTGTCACGTCTGAGCAGCTCTGCATTTACTACTGCGGGTTAGACCCCATCAAAGGCGTCAGAGCAGCAATCAACCTGTCACACTTCCACTAGGGTGTTCAACGGAGTGACTAAACACAATTTGGACCTCTTAGAGCATCCAGTGAATGTGAGTTGAATTCATGCTGGCTAGACACTCAGACTTCTTATGTCTTGATTAAAGCCTGCTTTGGTTTTTCAGCCAGATGAACTCTGAGGTCAGTGTAGCTCTTGGATGAAGCACTGACCCCATTCCCTTTTCTGTGCTGGCTGACTCTTATCCAAAACATTTGAGGTTTTCCTGTTAGTAAGAGACTAAAATGTAACACATTCATGACAAAGTTTATCACACAAATAGAGCATGTGATGTATTATAATCTCTCTCTTGCTTTATTTAGATAAATTATTGTACTGTATGTTCTGTTACAATAGATGTTCATATTAAATTTGGCTGGAGTCTCAAATAATGAGGTCAGGCTCAAAAATCTCTGGTCTTCTCCTACTGGATCGATGTGATGTCATTTACAGCACATATCCCTAATATGGTCGCGTCAGGCACGTAAGCTCCACCTGCTGTTCTAATCTTCTTGTTTATGACGAGCAGCCAATCAAAAGAATTCTGGTCTAAAAGGCAGCTGAAGGGTGTTAAAACAACTTATTTAAGACAGAGGATGAAGTAAGAGGATGCACCAAGGCACAGTATAAGATATATAAAGATTATTTCTAAATGAATCATGGAAATCTACTCTAGTCGAGTCTAAGAATAAAGATATGGAACTGTTGAATGAGCTGGGAATTACAAGCCCCTTTCAAGTTCTTTAATTAAAACAAATAAAATAAATCAAACATTGCTCTTTAAGCGTGATTGCACAACAATCGACAAGCACAGAAGAGTGGAACCAATAACTCTGTGTGCAGACATTAGGGTTTCAACAATCCTGCCCACTCTACTATGGAAAGAATGAATGCTAACAGCTTTTTGTGGGACATCAAAGGTCTAGGAGGACCACTGGTACTGATATATCTCTGATGATGGAAGCCGTAGTATCATCAAGTTAGAGTGACTGTCATGTTTCAAACACTCTGTGCTATAAACACTTGAACAACACTGCGGAGGAACACAGTGATGTATTCCCAGTGGCATCCTCATCAAAGTCAATCATCAGACTGCAGTAACTACAAAACCACATCTCCAAGGCTCTTTCCAAACATCTCTATGTTGAATGGCATTGCTGTTTGATTAGATACAGGAGAGAGATCGGAATGAGTGCCCCCGCATATTGATCTACAAATACAATAACACAAAAACACAAAAAAATGTGTACTTGAGGCACTGATTCAGGGACACTTATCTTGTGTTTCCTCAATATTTTATTCTAAATACTTTTAATTCTAAAAAACTCACATGTAACACACTATCCTCTCTTTCACCTGACTGCCTGTGCAAGGACTAAGTACCTCTGTTTTTTAAAGGCCGCTTCTCGCTAACGTTGACTCCATGGGGAGCAAAGGCCTCACGAGGACTAATGGAACAAAGCAACAATGTTTTTCCTTAGATATTATATAAAAGCTGTAGCAGGGGATCAGGTATAAGAGCAGTTTTGCAGGCAGCATTGCATAACTGATACAACTGTCTCGGATGAGTTAAAGGGTATGTATAACACTGTACACGTTTACAAAAAGTTACATTTCGCATGCCAGTATAACATGTATAAGTCAAAATCTTGTTTTTGGTAAACAAGATTTTTTTCTATATCCAACTTCCATCAATATCATGGGATATATCCTAGTTTTGAATATCAAGTACAAATTTATTTCTAAAGTAAGAATAAAATAGGAAGTACAGAATTTTGTTTCAGCCCTGAATACCATGAGGAACTCTGAAAATGTTAAAAATATGAAGGTTGAATTTCTCTCTATCCTGTAGCTTGAGGATCCTGTGCAGTATCTCAGCTGTTCCTAGGACTACGCTCTTCTGAACAGAGATTTCTGGGAGTCCTAGTGTTCCGCTTCCCACTGGGACCACTGTTACCTTCACCCTCCACATCTTCTCCAGCTCTTCTCCGAGCCCTTGGTACTACACGAGCTTCTTGTGTTCCTTCTTCATAATGTTGCTGTCATTCAGTATGGCTACATCTATCACTATGGCCGTCTTCTTCTGTTTGCCTAACGCCGCTATGTCCGGTTGGTTAGCCGTCCCCATTTAGTCCGTCTGTATCTTGAAGTCCCACAGGATCTTAGCTCAATTATTCTCAACCATTCTCTCCCATTTTGACCTCGGGAGATGTTTCTGTATACTATGCTGAACACTTGGTTATGACGATCCATGTATGCCTTGCCTGCTAGCATCTTGCACCCTGTTGTTATGTGCTGGATTGTCTCAGGGGCATCTTTACACAGCTTGCACCTGGGGTCTTGCCAGGTGTGATAGACCCCAGCTTCTATGGATCTTGTGCTCAGAGCTTGTTCCTGTGCTGCCATGATTAGTGCCTCTGTGCTGTCTTTCAGTCCAGCTTTGTCCAGCCACTGGTAGGATTTCTGGATGTCAGCCACTTCCTCTATCTGTCGGTGGTACATACCGTGCACGGGCCTGTCCTTCCATGATGGTTTGCACTAAGTTTTTTATCTTGTGGTATTACAGGTAATTTAAGGCTATAAAACTGATTATGATTCAGACAGATGATTGTCAACATGATGTTTTCTATGCTATCCATTCTTAACATCTTGCAACATGCTTTCTGTTGCAAATTACAGTTGAAAGTCAAAAATTACACCTTCCTTCTCCAATTTTTACACTCTGCAAATCCACCCAGAGGGCCAGACTCTACTCTTTGATGGGTTAGTTCAGACCTGCAGGCTGTATGTTCAACAAAGTTAACAGAACACTACTCCAGCAAGAAAATAACAATGGTGAACTGCATCTGCTTATTTATGATTTAAGAGCTCTCTTTGGCAGTCAGGAGCTGTGGTTATCCCCTTTTAACGTTAAAAGCCGCTCAAAATCCGAATGGCTCATTCAGAGACACATATTCTGATCTATGGAGAAAGCAAAGAAACTTTCTCATGACTTCTGAGCCTCTAGACACAGTGGGGACACTTAATTATGTTCAAGAACAATGAGAGTGGATTTTGCATAATACAGTTTGTCTCCTCTGAAACATCATTAGTATAATGTTTCCAGCATCTCTCTCTCACACACACACACTTCTGAGAAAAAAACAACCCAATCTTAAAGTCTGCTAAGTCATTTTCTCCACAGATACAAATAACTATTTATGATCAAGGAATAAACAGACGATGCACAAACAGTTTTATATGAAACGCCTCAGTCCTCATTATTTGCTCCCACTTGGATGTTTCTTTCTCACTTTCAGTTCTTCTCCCTTTTCACCCCTTCATTCCTACCCAGCCCTCACTGCACCCTCTACTTACTCAAACCAAACCACATCACTTGAACCTTCGTGTAATTAAAAACATGACATGTGATTATGAAATCAGGCTCTCTAAGAGAGGACTGGCAAATGTTTGGATTGTAGCCAATGTATACAAACCGTGACATATGTGATGAGTGTGGCGCGCAGATATGCTGAAAACAGTAAAAAAATAGTAAAAGTAGGGTGTTATAAATGGGTCAGTGCTACACAGCTCCGCAGAGCATGATTAAGAAAGCACGGGGGGGGGGAGATATGTGGAAAGTGCGGAGGAGTCAAGTCTGCTTTGGAAATAGATAACAGACTTCATGAGGACTGAGTGTTTGTTAATGCTTTTTGCTTGTTGTTTTAAACTGAGTTACATGCACTCCTGGTTAGCCTGCAGTAACAGCTGACAGCCTGTCTCCTCTTTAATGACCCTACAGTCTCAATTTGTGTGGGTCTGAGTGTGTGTGCATGGTCCAGTCTTGTGTTTTGTGTGTGTGTATTTGTATTTCCTACCTTCAGTCTCTGAGAGTGCGGCGGCCTCAGGTGAGAGAGCGTCTTGGCCCCAGTCTCCTGTACTGTAGATCTGCACTACCAGGAGTCGCTTCAGTGAAACCAGGTCAGCATCTTTGAGCCCCATCTCCAGCTGATGAACAATGCTACGGCCTGGCTGGGTGGTCACCAGAGTAACCTGGGGAAGCAGCATAAATATTAAGACAAATAAGGAAGCTCCCAGGAGCACAGACATAGACATTTAATTAGGTTTCCAATGTCAAGGGGCAAGCTGACCTCAATGTGACACAGTGCAAAAAAGTCATCAGGCTCAAAAAGAACTGAGAGGTGCCCTCTTAATGCTTCTTTAAACCACACTGCACAATATTCTGGCCACTACTTGTTTTATGCGCCGACTGATGAGAATGACATCCATGCCATTCAAACTACTTCAACTCAAGTGTGCTGCAATTAATCTGTGATGTCTTGCGATGATGTAACCCATCTGCTGCTCTTCCACAACCACACTATCACTTTTCATTAGCAAGCCACATCGATGCTCTTTGCCACAACTCTTTTCCAAAACCTTTCTCTATTTGAAGTGTTCCAGCTGGTTTTATGAAGGATTATATCAGAGTCACAGGACACGGCAACACCACACCAAAGCATTCTTTATGTCTGACAGTGCTGTGTCTGTTGGGAGTTTGGGGACATGACATGCAGTAAATTACAGTTACTAAAATGAACATGTGATGTCACAACCACTAGATACAAAATAATGTCAGCCCAAAAGGAAAGTGGTACATGCAATTTAAAGACACTCTAAAGGTGTATGACTTTTTTCCTGTCTTTAGTTCTCTTTCTTGGTTTAGATTATTTTATGTTAAATATGCCCAGTTTTGGAGATATTGTAAAGATGTGCATCTTTCTGGATTTTAACTGACCTAAAAGGCATCTCTAAGTACTGTATCTCTCGTTTTTGTTTTAATTTGATAAGCCTCTTGACACTCATTCAAGCATATAAAGGCAGTTAACTCAAGAGCTGAAGAGATACATCTGGTCCTTGTGTTATTCGATCTACAATTCACTGAAGCCTCATACGAACTAATTTCAGTGGAAGAGTGGCTGTCAAGAAGCCAATCCTAATTTAAGGAAGGGAAACAGCTAGAAAAGACTTAGATATGCTAAATTACACATAAACTGGTTTGAAGATAAGAAGCAACAGCTGATGAATCCACATGTTTGGTTCAAACTATCGTCAATATTTCAGAAGAAGGATAATGATACAATAGTGCCTACATTATAGGTAAAAACATACCTTGATGGAAAAACATAAAACTACTACTATGGACTACTATCAGTGATGGATTAGCATACACAGAGCCTGAACCTCAACATTATTGAGGCAGTGCTGGAAAGAACAGAACAAAAAGAAGACTTTTGAACGTCCTTTAAAAACCTTGGAAAAGTATTCCTGAAGACTACTTCAAGAAACTGCAGTAACACAGTTCACACTGTGTTACAGAACAAAGATGGTCACATCACATACTGACTTTCAAGTTGTTAGAGTTGCATTTCTGTATCTCTATTTGCATGTTTCAGTAAACTACCTCGCATTTGTTTTACAAAAACACAAAGAAATGAGGGCAGCTTAACATTTTTGCATAATACTGTACCGTGACAAAAAATATTTTAAAAACTGTCTCTTTGCAGAAGTCCTGAGCTAGTCACTCATCTGGGTTTATTAATGGCTTTTCATTTGAAGATGATGTGAAGATTAATGGCTTCCCCTTTGAATGACCTGTAATGTTGGGTTCTGTATTGAACAGCTCTTAACAAGGTTTGAGGGTCTTTGTGAGTAACTGGGTTACTCAAGATTTCTAGAGAGCGACATTACTGCTGAGATTTTCAAATGTATTTGAGCACTAAAGCAGATGCCTTCAGGTCCTGTTATATTCACGGGAAGGCGGTATTCTACAGCAGATAAAACTGGAAAACACAACAAAACAATCTAAACAGATAAACAGCATCACAGCCCAAGAGGGAAAATATGTCAACTCGATTTGGGAACGAGCTAGCCCTTTAATTTCTTTTTTTCTGTAACTGAGCTCTCATTATCTGTAAATGAACAAAACTACTGGTAATACATTTTAAAATGCTTTTACTCATCCGTTATCTTTTTAATAATGAAGATTTCTGCTGAACATTTGGACTAAAGACAGCAACTTAAAATAAGCAGAAAAATGTGATCATGGGAAGAGATGAAATTAGTTTTCTGTGTCATTTACATGCCTAATGGGGGAAAAAAGATAAAATAATGCTAGGCTGACATTTAGCATTCTACTGAATCACATTAACAGTAGCAGGAAATGATGATTGTATTTCGGTTATTGATGAGAGCTGCTCTTGGCTTCCGGCTGTTTAGAAAAAGTGGATGGAAACTGCTGCTCAAGGAGAATACATGCATGCATTAAGCGTCATGTATCTGAATGAAAACATGCATTGTATTGGTGGCCTAGCAAGGCACACACAGACACACATGCAAAGGGCCATGCTTCTGTTTTTTCCTTTGCTGTCTCCTAACAGCGTTATTCATATATCCTACTCTTGAAAGCAGTGGGTCTTAGTGCTATCATCTGTCCAGAGCCTCATAAAAAGCTGGCTGGAATTTACAAAATCTCGTCAACAACCTACAGCCTGGTGTCCCGAGGACACAATGTTCAGCAGCTACCACAGTTCTTACTGGCTGACTGCCGGCCTGACCCGTACATTTAAAAACAATAGATGTTTTCAGTGAGCTGAAAGCATCTAATTTGTTAAAGTGAGAGTGAACGCATGCCATAAACGATCACTTGGTGACACCAAAAATGTTTTCTGCGGTGCGTTATGAGCCTGCATGTTTTTGCATACCATTAGCAAACAACACCACACAACATTAATAGAATTGAACGGATCTATGAACTGTGCTGCTTCAGCAGCAGATATGAGCTTTTAGTGAAACTTGTAACGTTACACTTAACTGTTCAATAATGAGTTGATACAACAGGATACAAGAGGTTTTACTTTTTGAAACTGACTGCACGAAGCTCACTAAGGAAACTGGCTTCACTATTTCGTACACTGGCGTTAAGTAGCGATACCTGATCCGATTTCCCCTTCAAATGGGGAAACACTGAAACTACTAAAGCTTTTTGCGATGTCCTCTTTCTACAGAGATGGTTCACTAGCAGATAAATAGTAGCTCTTTTGCTCCATTTCATATGTGGACAGGCTTATTTTAAGTGCACTGTTTCATATAAAACATGAAGAGCCATTACCAGAGGGCTGTTAACAGAGACATGCTAATGAGATTGCCTTGTTCAGTCTGTTTTTTGCAGCTGCTTAATACACTGAATTGGACCTGAGGACAGCTCATTTAATAGGTATGAGTGGAACCTCTTCTCTATCTTGAATATCCAAAGGGGATCTATTTAGCGTGAGCTGGTCTGCAGCTGAAAAGATGATCCTTGATAATGAAAATGAAGATAAAGTTTAAAAAAAAAAAAAAATCCAGTGACAGCAACTGCAGAGAAAGAAAAATATGTAAATGAAAAAACATGAAAAACTGTGCCTATTATTCTCCTCACAGATCTAATTGACAGTTCAGGGGATGGAAAGAAGTAATTTACCTGCCGCAGGTAATGCTTCGGTTTTGATGGAAATTTCTCAATGTGTTCTCCTACTTAGAAAGCGCTGATGAATCTCATAAAGCTTTTATGATCAACATGCTCCCTGTGTTTCATAGGGGATGTAGCTCAGTGGTAGAGTGCATGCTTCGCACGTATGAGGTCCTGGGTTCAATCCCCAGCATCTCCACTTCTGTTGCCATTTAGAACTATTTAGACTCAGTTCAGAGGTCTGTGCTACAGAGTGGAATTTGAGGACAAGAAACAAGATTATGGTTTAATGCTTTGTATTTACTGTAACAGTTACCAGGGTACTCTTATACCACAGATCTAACTGGCTCTCAAGCAGTGTGTGTTCAGTATAATAAGATAAGATAAGATAAGATAAGATAAGATAACTCTTTATTGTCATTGCACAGTCATACATAGTACAGTAGTACAATGAAATTGGAAAACTGTCCTACGTCGGCACTACATATAACACAACACGACACGATATGACACATCACAACGCAACACAAACAACACAACACAGTATAAGTTAGTAATAAAAAGAAGAAGAAGAAGTGTATTTGTATTGCACACTGTTATTATTGCACATTAATTATTATTGCACCTTGTTATAAATATAAATATTAGATTATATTAGATATAATCGATCAGCACTTACAAACCTACTAAGCAATTTGTGCAGATAGTTAGAGGCTTTATATGTGTTTATTACTCCACTAACCATCAGCAAAGTTAAACAGGCTGTGTGTGACACCCTTTCTAAAAGCTGTTTGCCAACTGTAAATGAAAACCAAAGTTAAATTATTCACTAAAAGTTACAGAAGTGTGTACGGTGTTTGTGTCTTCTTTCACTATAAAGACAGAGCTTTCACACATGTGTGTTTCTTTGGAAGCTGATCAGGATAGTTGCTCTCTGCTTTGTACTGTGGGGCTGATTCCTAAGTCAATGGTAAGAGTGGACTCTGAGAGGAGCTCGCTACCCAGTCCCTGTGACTTGTACGAATGTGCAGTTTTACATAGAAATTCATTTCTTGTGAAGTGTCGCTTCTCACCTCCACAGAGATGTTGCTGCCGGCCTGACTGCCAGCGCTGGTGTGTCTGATGTACTGTTTAAACTGCTGCAGACTGTCCAGCACTGCCTGTCGCAGCAGATCAGCTCCCGCGGCTGCTCCTCTGATACAACCTTCACTTGGAATAGACCTCAGCTCTTCAACGCAGGAATGCAGCCTGGCGAAGTTACCACGAACTTGCTAAAACAAAAAAGGTGACAGGGAATGAAAAATGGATAAAAATGGGAGATAATGTGGGTGACAGAATGCAAAGCAGGAAAAGGGCTGATATTTATGTATGAAAGAAAAAGCAATTATAGGAGAGAAATAATGTGTTTTGCACTGCTTTCAGGAATATTACACTTTTATCCATCTTACCACAAGTGGCAATAGACATTCCCGCTGCCTGCTGACGGCATACAGGCTCAGTAGAGGTATCCTACAGGGCCCATCCAGACTAGAGGCCAGAGACAAGAAGTTGTCCAGAGCATCGCAAAGAACCGTGCGGGTTTCTGACCATCGGGGCGGCAGCGCCTCCACAATTAGGACCCTGGCTGGTTGTCGTGGGAACGACGAGGACCAGAAAACCAAACTTGGAGAGTTGGAAGAAGCTGCTGCCCTCTTTCTGCTCTCCATGATAGCCTGCAAACCACAAACACAATGCTGAAGGAGCACATAAAGTACACAAAGACAACAAAAGAAAAATGTAAGGACTCTTCCCCTGTAATGACAATCACCCTTAGGAATTAACAAGATTCATTAAATAAGTATATTATCTGCAGTCCTAATCATCAGTAGGGAAACTAGAACAGAACAAAATAAACAGAATAAATGAGTTATGCTGCATATGAAAATATGTAGCGAGAAACTAGGTTATAAATCAGTCCATTCTTACATAACTCAGGGCTTTCCTTTAGATCTGAGGAGGATGGTGGGAAAAGAAGTAGTTGAACACTGAAAACATAAGAATATAATCTGAAACGATAACACAGCCAGCTCTGCTGCTCTCAAATGTTCACTTAATCAGAATGATGTTACTATGCTGGAATAAATCATAAATGAAAATATGTAAAACCAAAATGGACAAAATGGAGCATATAAAGAAGACTAAAGTAAGCAATGCTAATGTGTCGAATGCTCCAAATACTGATCAATTTTATCACTGCTGTTTTAAAGATATGATACTGGCAACATGTTTAATATTTTAGAACCTTTAAATTGTCTGTTTTGTATAACCAGCAATCCAAAATGCAAAAAACCCCCCATTATAATATGAAATGTAGAAAAGCAAAGTAGTAATTGACAGCTGGGAAATGGGTCTTTGTGAGGGTGACTATGCACGTAAGCACAATTCCATGCTTGAGAAAATAAAACCCACTTAAAAAACGGACTACAACACATTTGAAAAATATCAGTACCTCATTATTTCTTTTTCATCCGCATTTGGGGAAAACCCCAAAACATATCCTTTCACTATTTCCTGTAGATTTCAGAGGAGTATATGACTGAACAGTCTCAACATATATATTTTGTAAGAAGGGCCATCTGTGTGGCTGTCAAAAGGAAGCAATCAGTCATCCATCACACAGGATGTGCCCAAAGGGTTAAAGAGGGGAACCCCCGAATCTTTCTATAAACAGTTACTCCATTGGAAACTGTCATTATATCTATATATATATCTGCAGCATCGTTGTCTCCCTTTACTGACACACAGCTATTCAGCTGGTTGTTTAATTTCCACAGCTTGTTGAGTGCAGCTGATGGCATTTTGTTGTGTAGTTTACACATAAGGGACTGTGACGTGAATTTCATTTTAAGCAAATAACTGATTAAATTGCTGAATTAATTGCTGTCTGTCAAATATGAAGATTTGATCATTTTTTCAATTCATTGTAAACAGAATATCCTTTGGTATGGGACTGATTGTTATAGCAATTAAGCTTTGGCTGGGATGTGGAAATTAGCACACTATTTGACTGATATGTTACAAAATGAAATTGCTGATGAAAATCTTAATTACTCTGAGACATAGGATATATCATGTCTATGTAAAACACACTATATAACCTGAAATAGTAAAGGCAAGTCATAGGCCTGACTCAAGGCTAAAAACAGAAGCAAATACAACCAATTTAGAGCCATTACTAGAGAGCTTGGAGTGGATTTATCAGGGCAAAACCATTGACAGAAATAATCCCTCAAAGGCTGAGCTCCGAGCACTCTTTATCATCCCAGGTCTTTTAATCCTGTATCTCCAGGCCCTGCTCTATTGTTGTCTTCAATATAAAGGGCACATTGTGTAAATATGTGCATTGTTTGATTGTGTGCCCTTTTCATCTACCTCTGACTCAGTTCTCCTCTTCTAAGCCAAATTCTGTGCTTCCCACCACCCAGATCAAATATCTTTCACCTTCACACCTTGATCTTGCATCACCTCTAAGACTACACTCTGTTCAAAGGCAAATAAATGTAATCAGATTCAACCCAGTAGCTAAAAAAAATGAATCCTTTTGCCACAGGGGTTTTGGGTTGGTTATTCACTGACCTAAAAAATATTTCAGGCATTACTTAGTGGTGTGAATTTAACATCACACTACAGTGACACACACACACACATCTCTTTTTGTGCAGCTTTAATAAGCCAAGCAATCCATACTGCCTGTGGTCATGTCTTTAATTAAATGATTTTGACACAAATAATAGATGGCAAGAAACATTAATTTATTAGTATTTAAAAACTAAACACATGTAAATTAGATTATTCTTATATTAGAAAGCTGTTATATAAATTTTAGCTAGGATTAGCAATTTATACCTTGCAAAGTTTAGCTAACATTACCTTGCTGAGGTTAAGTTCCAACTTCTCTGAAAATAGCTTCTGCTGGACGGTCTGTTATGTCAAGTAGACGGGTTAATAAAAGTATATAGAAAAGCCCCCCAGAGAAAATCAACAAACTGTTGTGATACAACATGCACAGGCTCTGCTTCTTATCAACAAAATAGCTAACCTAGACCTGATAGTTAGTCGGTTAGCATGCTAACGTTAGCTAGCTAACAGTAGGCCTGTAAATTCATTTTGTAACCTGAATCCAGAACAGCTTCAATACAAAAGGGCATAAATAACATAATAGAGGCACAGCCCCAATAATGTTACACTGGGAGGTAACTTAACTTACTTTGAAACAATTTCTAGTTTACTCTGCTAATTTATTAATGCTGAATAAAACTGACATATGTGGGGAATTTTGCATGTATATAAAACTGATAATTCATTTTTAGAGAATTTCATCTACATTTTAATATTATTTAAATTAAACATCTGTAATAGATGGTAGAGAGTTGTTGTTTTTTTAATTCAAGACAAACTGATTTTTATTAAGTTAATACATTGTGGCATTATCTTCTCAGAACAACCACCTTGCGGTCTGCCTCTGACATCCTCTGTTGTATGGAAACTGGCCTTCAATTTGGAGATGTACTATGGCTCACTCCAAATGATGCTACAACTTGGTTTTGCAGAACAAATGCTTGAAGTTTCTCTGTGCACAAGCCCTATCCAGATCAGTCAAACATGGCATGCTTGGAGCAGACACTGCTGTAGCAGGTTCTGTTAATCAGGTACCAGTCAGGCACCTGATTGTTAGCTCCAGGGGTACCAAAAGCTCAAAACAAAAGTCAGTATCAGAATAACCTGTTTGGCATTGACAGAGAAGATTTGGCAAGTTTTTCACAGGCATCTTACATATTCAACTATGCAGCTGAACCCACAATTGTATTTTTCTTGCAAATGCAGTACCACTTAAGAGGACATAAACAGGCTTTCCAATGGTAAAAGATTTATATCAAAAAAGCATTGTTACAGCAATGAAATACACAACCAAACACACATTTCCTTACCTGTTGAGCTAAGTTTATATTAAAGAATAAAAAAATCCCCATAACTTTTTTCAAAATGTTAATTCAAAAACCTCATTTGCATCTTGTTCTGTCCCGCTTCTGTGTTTATTTCTATTCATCATTTGTAGATGAATACAGAAAAAGATCAATGAGAGGCAAAGTGCAGGGACAGAATAAAAGGCATGGAAATGTGTTCCTGATTGCTGGTTTGCTTGATTCAAGTGCTTTCTTGGACTTTGTGGCTGTTTATATGTGAGAGAGCCAGACGGTCCGAGCTGTGAAGGTGCAATCAAGATGTGAAGGGAGCTGCAGTCTTGGAAAATGGAATACAAGGTTTTTGATGAATGCGTGTGTATGTGTGGATGAAGGGGCTTTGTAAAGGGGTCTGCATATAAGGCTTTGGTGAGAGCTCTGTCGTGAAATGAGAGTTGCTGCAATCGTGCACAGTCATACTCGCCGTCTCTCCCTCGCTCCCTGTCACTCTCTCTCAGGCACACACAAATGCTCCCAGTGAAACATGTCACTGCCAGGGTATATGAGTTTGTCATGAAGAAACTGGAACATGCACATCTGTTTAAGGGAGATAAGAGGTATGTGTGTTTTTTGGTGGAAAAAAGGAAAAAAATAAAATAAACTTAACTTCTGCCAACCCACTGCACCTGGCAAAACCATTTGCCATTTGCCAGGATGAATATGATGTCCTGATGTGAAAACACACTCTGTCTTTCTGTGCGTATATCTACGTGTGTGTTTGTGTGTCAGCAGCTGATTAGGGCTTAATGTCACCCATTGGGCGGTGGCTTCTTGAAGGCACTGGCAGTTCTCCATCTTGCCTTTTTCTTTTTTGGCTAAACTTTTCATATCCCACGCACCTGCACCATCTTCCAGGTTTTTTTTTTCCAGTCACTCTTTATACCTCCTGTCAACATCCCACTTGCCTGCCCTTGCTCAAAGCTCTATTTTTATCCTAAATGTATATGTTGTGCATCCTGTTGCAGGGACTTCACTGTGAGGAGCTTGACTGGGATGGATGTTGAGCAGTCAGTCTGAACTATGAGGGTCTGTGTAAAGGGATTAGGTGCACTGATATGATTGGAGCTTAATCAGACTTACACAAAGAGCACACACACACACACACACACGTGCACAAAATGCACACATGAATTTGCTTCCCAATTTTGTTGTGATGAACGCACACACTTCTAGGTCAATAGGAGCTTTGCACCAACATACTAATCCGCTGTGTCTTTTTGATTTACTCCTGGGGATCAGGCAAAGTTTGCCCGGTGGTTTTTAGCACTTTTCGTGCACACTAGTTGCTCTTTTCGCTCGTTTTTGCCCAGTTTTGAATTTCACTTCTGTCTTAGTTTTATTCACTGAGCAACTGAGGTTAAATGAACGTTAAGTCGGTTCTGAAGTTGTTTGCTTCCTTGAGAGGTTTTAGTTAAATTCCCTAAGATGGGAACAAGAGCATGAAATTAGAAAATCCTCTACATCCTAGCAGTTTTGGCGGAAGGGGGTCAGATGGAAGCTGTTGACAGAAGCTATTTTCATAACTTAGGTTTTTAATTATCTAAAAAAAGGCACTGGGACAAATCACATTATTTTTGGAAACAGCTTAAATTATACCTGTTTTAGTTCCACACCCCTATCAATGTTTAGCCCATTTATATTATACTCTTCAAAATATGGCTGCACACATATATTTCTGGAAGTATCAGTTTGCCTAGACTCAGATGAGGATATTTATATTTGTATGATGTCTGTGCACAGAATATAAAGCTAAAGTCAGCAGAGCATAAAGACTTGTAGACTGTAAATAAAAGATGGATGTAGCCCTGTGGTATCATGCATTAGTGAAGTCTGAAGTGTTTTCAGATGTGAATTTAGATGTGATGAGCAATAGGTGGGTCTGACAGAGAATCCAAGGGATTCTGCCTTTTGTATTGTAATGTAATTTCTTTATGTAACATCCACTAGGGAGCTCCCTAGCTGCAAGCTCAGCCGCAGTCTTTCTTCATTTATAGCTAGCTGAACCACTTCATCTACGTAGTGAAGTAAGTATATAAGCTAAAAATTAAATGTAGGATATAAACGCATTTAATTTGTAACCAAAAACTAAAAGGTGGAGATTGACAGACAGATTGCTGCAGTATCTACAGCAGAGGTGCCCAATCCCAGTCCTCGAGAGCTACCGTCCTGCAGCTTTTAGATGCATCCTTGTTCCGACACACCTGAATCAAATGAATGGCTTGTTATCAGGCCTTTGCCAAACTTGATGGCATGCTGACGAGGTAATCAAACCATTTGATTCAGCTGTGTTGGGATGCATCTAGCTCTCGAGGACTGGGATTGGTCACCCCTGATCTACAGCGATGCAGATGTTGTACTGGTCTGTCATGAAGTTTTTAACTTTTTCCTCGTTTTTTTGGTCTATATACGTCCCTACCCTTATCGGTGGTTATGAACTCTGGGTAATGATCGAAAGAATGACATCTTGAGCTTTCTCTGAAGGGTTCCTGGGCTCAGCCTTAGAGATAGGGTGAGATGTTCAGTCATCCAGGTAGGACTCGAAATAGACCCGTTGACTCCTCCTCGAAAGGAGCCAACTAAAGTGTTTCAGGCATTTGATTAGGCTTGCTTCCTAGGCACCTCCTGGGCAAGATGTTTCAGGCATGTTCTATCTTGAGCAGAGAGTGGTCTGTCGTGCAATAATTAACATCTGCCGACAGGTGTGATTTGGATGACTAACAGCTGCATGACATGTCAGGAGGAGAAAAATGGTTGCCCAAACCAATGATATCATCAAAAAGGGCACAGCCTTATTGGGTGAAAGAATGAATCAGGATGAAAACTGAAGAAGAAAAATGTGCACAGAATAATCATATAAGGTTGTATAATCCACCTTCTATACCTATTATATACTTATTGGATTATATTCCCTTTGGATTAAGCCAGGGAAGCCATTTTTGCACTCTTCTTCTTCTTCTTCTTCTTCTTCTTCTTCTTTGAAAAGAAGAAGGAGACATGAAGGGCACCAGTCCTTTCTTCTAAGTGTTGGCAAAAAGTAAATGAGAGAATTTCTTAAACAACTATATTTTAAAGAATAATTTTTAATACTTGGTTACAGCTGGACACCAAAAACCCTCAGCCGCTGCAATTATTACACTGAAAGATTTCAGTGTACAAATGAAAAGCATGCTTCAGCATGTTATGCGTTGCATTAAATAAAAACAAGTAATCAGGAACCGTGAAATCTGCTTGTTTATATTATTAGAACAGCATATCAATCACGCATCCTTGATTGCACAAGACAGACTTCCACTGAACTACTGCAGGTATTTTCTTGTAGACTCAGGCGATATAATCTCACAGTGAGACTTCACAGATTTGATTTTGTTTTGTTGAAACTAGATTGTCTTCCTCGAGGGCACGAAAGACATGAGAGGGAGGTAATCATAATTCTGAAAGATTTCGTCAGAATATTTCCCGAGAATATAAAGACGTGCGCTCAAATGCACAGCAGGGTCGCGTGGGATGCCATTTACAGTAAGAGCAGCAAAATGCTACCCGACATGTAGAACACATGTGTGTAAACGTACGAGTATGGAAGCATAATTGTGGAAGGAATTTACATAAAGCACCTACAGGCATTTGCCCTCAGAAGAAACTGGGACTGACTTGCAAAAGAATAGCATTCTTACATTAACGTTAACTCAGGATGACGGTATTCTCTCTCTAAGCCTTTCAGGTCATAAAATATATCATATATCAGGAAGAAATAAATATATCACTGGGCGTTTTGAGGGAATCATTAATATACTAATCTTCTGCTTTTTCTCAGAAGTACCACTAAGGACAAGTCAAGCTGCTCTTTTATTTGCATGAGTACTATTTTGGAGCCAATCCAGTCCTATTGTTACTTGACAAGCATTATTGGAATTGCTGTTCTAGTATATGTGTGTGTGTGTGTGTGTGCTTGGAGCTTAGAGATGGTAAGCTTTAATTCTTTGAGCATTTGCACTAATCTCAGTGGGAAAGCAAGTTCATTTGGTATCCTTCTTGGCCATGTGTGGAGCACAAAGCCAGAGCTGCTTACCGTGTGTGTGTTTTTGTAACTGTGGTTAGCTCTGACTGTATATGCTCTCTGGATAAGCTTAAGTGGTGCATAACTACCT